GTCCAATCAATGAGATGAGATAGGAGGTGTTGGTTACAGCTAGCCTGCCCTATAAAAAACACACACCAGTTATGGGTTTGCTTTTCACAAGAAGCATTGCCTGATGTGAATGATCCCTCGCACAAAAGAGCTCTCAGAAGACCTACAATTAAGAATTGTTGACTTGCATAAAGCTGGAAAGGGTTATAAAGGTATCTCCAAAAGCTTTGCTGTTCATCAGTCCACGGTAAAACAAATTGTCTATAAATGGAGAAAGTTCAGCACTGCTGCTACTCTCCCTAGGAGTGGCCGTCCTGTAAAGATGACTGCAAGAGCACAGTGCAGACTGCTCAATGAGGTGAAGAAGAATCCTAGAGTGTCAGCTAAAGACTTACAAAAGTCACTGGCAAATGCTAACATCCCTGTTAGCGAATCTACAATACGTAAAACACTAAACAAGAATGGATTTTTGGGAGGATACCACAGAGGAAGCCACTGCTGTCCAAACAAAACATTGCTGCACGTTTACAGTTTGCACAAGAGCACCTGGATGTTCCACAGCAGTACTGGCAAAATATTCTGTGGACAGATGAAACCAAAGTTGAGTTGTTTGGAAGAAACACAACACTGTGTGGCGAAAAAGAGGCACAGCACACCAACATCAAAACCTCATCCCAACTGTGAAGTATGGTGGTGGGGGCATCATGGTTTGGGGCTGCTTTGCTGCGTCAGGGCCTGGACGGATTGCTATCATCGAAGGAAAAATGAATTCCCAAGTTTATCAAGACATTTTGCAGGAGAACTTAAGGCCATCTGTCTACCAGCTGAAGCTCAACAGAAGATGGGTGTTGCAACAGGACAATGACCCAAAGCATAGAAGTAAATCAACAACAGAATGGCTTAAACAGAAGAAAATACGCCTTCTGAAGTGGCCCAGTCAGAGTCCTGACCTCAACCCGATTGAGATGCTGTGGCATGACCTCAAGAAAGCGATTCACACCAGACATCCCAAGAATATTGCTGAACTGAAACAGTTCTGTAAAGAGGAATGGTCAAGAATTACTCCTGACCGTTGTGCACGTCTGATCTGCAACTACAGGAAACGTTTGGTTGAAGTTATTGCTGCCAAAGGAGGTTCAACCAGTTATTAAATCCAAGGGTTCACATACTTTTTCCACCTGCACTGTGAATGTTTACATGGTGTGTTCAATAAAAACATGGCAACATTTCATTCTTTGTGTGTTATTAGTTTAAGCAGACTGTGATTGTCTATTGTTGTGACTTAGATGATGATCAGATCATTTTATGACCAATTTGTGCAGAAATCCATATCATTCCAAAGGGTTCACATATTTTTTCTTGCAACTGTATGGTCCTGTCACTAAGCTTCTGGTAGTCAATACAGAAACCAGTTGTACCGTGTCGCTTGGGTTACCAGCACTACCGGCGAAGCCCAAGGACTCTGCAATGGCTCTATAACTCATAGTTTGAGCATCTCTTGGAGTTCTGCCAGAATGTTGTCTCTAACTGCCGCAGAGATACGGTAGGGTTGTTGCCTGAGTGGGGTTTCCCCTTGGGTCTCGACTCAGTGGACCGCAGCAGAGGTGTACCCGGGTAGGGCAGAGAACATGTCCCTGTATCCCTGGAGCAGCTGAGAGGCCTCACTCTTTTCCTGGGGGTTTAATGCCTCGCCTAGCTGCACTTGATCTTTCGTGTTGGGGCCAGCAACGAGTAAGTTCGGTAGGGGGATGCCCTCACTATCCTTACAAGCAGGGGCACATACGGACGCTATATCCCCTATACACTCAAAATAAGGCTTCAGCAAATTTTCCTTAAAAGCTCTCCGGATCCTTTCAGTTGAACCTTTGTACCATCTTTTCTGGCGCTTCTTGGTCGCCTGCAGGTTCTCCCAAACAGATTCAGTGAGGGTCTGCAAGCGGTGCCTAAACTCCAGAATATACTGTACAATAGGGACTCCCCCCCCCACCCCCCTCTCCTGTGTTATGAGATCCAGGGGTCCCTGGACTTTTCTCCCATAAAGGAGTCCGAAAGGGGAGAACCCTGTAGATGCCTGGGGCACTTCCAGGTAGGCAAA